TATATATATATATATATATATATATATATATATATATATATATATATATTTTCCACATGACTTGTTCTTTACCTAGAAAAAAGGTATAATACGGCAAAATATTCAATATGAGATATTGTTGAATATTAGAACGCGATAGACGCAACCACATAAAAATGGTTCGTATTAGTTTTCCACAGGAAGGGACCGATTAAGTAAAATATTCTGAATGACATGACAATTTTGGAATTGTCATCGATTTTTGATCATCAATTGTACGTTTTCTTGAGTTAGACCTAACCATTGTTGCTCATTTAAGGATGTGGCTTGACCATCGTCCGATCCGTCAATGCGACAGATGCCCAAGGATTGTCGATGCTAATCCTCAACCTAACTTGGACTTAAATAAGCCAAAGAGTCCAAGATGAAAACTATTATGCATGGAAGGCAAGTCCTCTTTTTCTAAGATGAATGCGTAAGATTACATGGCGAAAATTTTCAACGATGTTACGCTTTTGTACGATTCCTATCTCAACCGTAACTTTCACTCTCTCTCTCTCTCTCTCTCTTTCTCTCTCTCTTCGTAAAAAAAAAAAATTAGTTATAACTAAACTTTCTTATTTTTTTTTTTTATACTTCTTTTTTTTCCTCTCAACTTTTAACCCTTTTATTGCTTTCTTTAAAAAAGAGGTCAATAAAAAAAAAAAAAACGAAAGAAAAAGAAAAAAAGAGAAGAAAAAAAAAAGAAGATATATTATTCTTCTTTTCTTTATTTTTTACAAAATTTCGATAGATTCCTGACATCAATTCGAATCCATTGTTCCGTAGATCATTTAACTTTTAACTTACTCCCCTCAAAAATACAAATCCTATTTTCAACACGTTCTTACCCAAAATTTAGATATATTCATTTTTCTTTTTTTCTTTTTTTTTTTCTTTCTAATATCATAATTTAACAGAACTGGAGAAAATTATTTTGATCGATTTGTAACGTAGCCTAGGATGATGAGAAAAATTCGAATATTGAATGAATATTATAAATATATCTTAGAAATTCGTGAAGATATTTTCTTGAAGAAAAATGTGAAAAGGGATGGTGTTACCCTTACACATATATATATATATATACATATATGATGGAACTCTAACAACTGGTCAACCGCAAATGAACACTTCATTCCCCTTCTCCTTTTTCGATTCCCATCGATTGCCTATAGCCCATCGACCTCTCTCCTACTCTCTAAATCCTTTCTTACGGTGTTCCCTTTTTGCATTTCGAAATCTTCATCCCTCGTACTTTCGTATGAAAGAGGTAAAAGCTGCGTGCTCTTTTGCTGACTATACACGGTTTTCATCGGAAGAATACGGTATCCCATTCTATGATGGGAAAAAAACTGGTCTCTCTTTAAGTCGACCACCATCACCTATTTCTTTATCTAACTTTCTCTCTTTTTTTCTTTATTTTTTTTTTTTTTTCAGACTACTCCACTGGGAATATAGGAAAAATACAAAAAAAAAATATATATATATATAAGAACTAGATATTCTTCTGAATACTTCTGACCAATTGCAGGAATGTCCAGTTCTATTATACTTATGTTAAAGGAAATGTATATCAAACGAATGATCTTCGAGAAACGATTCTTACGTAAAAGGATCATCCATTGACATTTCATCTGCATTTATTTGACTTTAAAAAGAACTATCATTTATTAATCGTTCAAATTATCAAAATAAGTTCAAAAAATGGTTTCAAGTAAAATACAAATATCTATTATTTTATTCGTTTTTATTTTATTTATAAGATCCTTATATACCCAAATAAATGTACCTTTGTACATAAATCTATTTAATTCTATATCTATTATATTTACGTATTAATATTAAAATTATTAAAAATAGTCATAATTATTGTAATTGATTGTACATACGAGTACGTGTTACTATATTATGTAAAAGTAACAATAAATTGTAAATAAAATAATAAAAAATATAATACAAAAAAAAATTGTTCGTAGAAAATTTCATATTCGAGGTAAAATAATATTTTAAAATTTTATCGTATTATTACTATTATTATTATTATTATTATTAATAATTGGCATTAGGAACTCGAAAGTTCATTGCCGCAAATACCAAATCCCGCCATTGTTCCCGTCCCTGAGTGCGATTCTTCCATTCGCGGTCTTCGTATTCTATTTCTTTCTGGATATACTATACTATAGTACAGTATATATTTATATATATATAAAATATATTTTTATATAATATAATATACTATATATTATTATATAATATTATATATATATATTATATACCGTGATAAAATAATAATAATTCACAGAAGTACATTTTTTCGTTTAGAGATCGTTTGACCGAAAAATATTCATCGTAACGGTTAGCTCGGTTTTTCGTTTTTTTACCTGAACGGATTCCCAAGGGAATTAGTCGTTTCGTTCCTTGGAACACATGTTTTTAGGTGCAAACCAATTCGTAACTCTAAGATCTTAGATGACTTTTTCTTTTTGTTATACGATTGTACACACTCGATACCTATAAATTCTGGCAATAATACAAATAAAAAAATCCTTTAAGCTTTAGTTCACTTTTTTTTTGTTTTTTTTTTTTCTTCAGTAGATATGTTCCTCAATAAATGGGGTAAAAAGAAAGAGTTTGTTAAAAAAAATGATACTTAAAAAAGCAACCGTATTCAAGAGAAACGACATTGAAGTTACGTTGAAAGTTATAAATCGTCTTAAAGAAAGAAAGAAAGTTAAAGATAAATAAAAAAGAAAAGAAAAGAAAAATCAGGATCTTTTTTTTTTTTTATCACGTAGATACAATTCTTCTGTTCTGGATCGTGTACAAAAAAAAAAAAAGGAGAAGTTTCTTGGATGAATTGAAAAAGAAAGATAAAAAAAAAATAGGACACGGCATGCAACAAATTTCGGTACTTAAACTTTCTACGAGAATCCTTCTTACTATTTTCAACGTAACTTTTTTTTTTTTTACTCGACAATAAATTAAGATCGTAGTTGTGATCATAAAAAATGAGAATACAATTCGGACCCTTTTTTTTTTTTTTTTTTCAAATCTATAAAACTTATGCTACTCGTAGCGAGTTTCCAGAGAAGTCATATTAAAGTGCATCTAAATTTTGTATTAAAAAATATTTTGTATTTTTCGTTAATTTGTTTTCTATTAATTAAGAGTGTAATAATAAAGCATGCAACAAAAATTCGAATTATTACTCGTTTTTATTGAATAAAATAATTCATCCAAATATTCTTATTTTTATCTTCTTAATACTTTGTTGACCGGTCCCGAGTTAAGGCCGGCGATACATGTAAAATGAAAAACGGTCAAAATTTAGGCATTTACATGTATCGCCGGTCTTAACTCGAGTTTCTGTGGTCGAACGTTGCTGACCGGTCACGAGTTAAAATAAAATATTACAATAGTAACCAATTTTTTGTGTACTATTGTTATACTGTTTATCATACCAAGAAAAAATATTCAAAGTCTAATAATAAGTACAATTTATTAAAAATTACTTATTTTGTTTTACTTTTCAATTCAATTACGAAATAATAGCCGGTGACATGAGATAAATTCTTAAAAAAATACAAAAAGTCAACAAAGTTTTAACATTATAATCATCAAGACCAATTAAAAATGACTTATTGATGTATTTTTAAATATTAAAATCACTTTGAAGGAAATTTATATAATTGTATATGATATTATGTATATATTTTATGAACAATATATTATTTATCTGAGTTGACATTAAATAAAAATTAAAAGAACAAATTAAAAGAAAGTTTACTTAATAACCAGTTACATTAATTGGTCTGATGAAAATAGAAACACAGTATTATTTCATAAGTTTACTAATGAATGTGTTAGAATTTTAGTTATAATGTAATATTTACTATAAAGAAGAAAAATCTTACCTTGAAATGTATTAGTCAAGGACTCTTTCATTTTGCTTACTAAACTACCTGTTGAAATTAATTATATGAAGTATTATTTTTAAAAGTAGACACCTATTGATAAGTTAATGACTTATGATTAATCTGTAATCATAATTGTTTTTAAATTACCTTGAAAACCATAATTTCCTATGACGTGCAATTTGTTCACTGTAAATCAAACCATAAGAAACACACAGCATAGTTATTTATTACTTAATAATAAATTAATAAATGTATTATAATAATATTATGTTTTTTATTTTTGAAATCAATCTTATTGTAGATAAACTAGTCAACAATAAAAATTGTGTAAACGTTGTTATGCTTACATTACAGATGTAATAATATAATAGACATTTTTTAAGTTATTTCAGTATTTATTTAATTATAATATTATCTATACTTTTATAGACAAATAATGATAGGAATTTTCCAAGTTGGATTTACTTTAGAGGTTAGAAAGTAAAGTAAAAAATGACAACTGTCATACTAACATACCTGGAGTGTAATTTGTTATAAAAGATCTTGTTATATTCACTACTGTTCTTGTTAAAACGTTCATGATGAATTTAATAATTAAATATTTCTAAAAAATTATCCGTTTCGCAAAAAATTCCAAACAATTTGCTCCTGTAGACCCCTACTGGTCAATCAATCAACTAATTACAGTCCGTTGGATAAGATAGGAATCCCGTTTATCTTCAAATTATTTTCTATTTCCACATTTTTTTATTTTTCTACAATTTATTTCTCAATTCTTTACGTAACAATTTTAAACGACACATTAAATGGAAAGAGCTATTAAACTTAAATAATTTGAACGAATAGTTGAAATGACGTCCGTATTTGTACGATCAGAAATTGATACAAATGTTGCCTACAACAGGAGCACATGTGTACCCTACATATGACCACATGTGTAAACCACATGTGTGACCACAACACAAAATGTTACAAATATTACGAATATTTCATTTATTTGCAGATGTATACAATAAAAGAATTCATTTAAAAATCATTAAAATAAGGGAATAAAAGAGATATTAATAAAACGATCGATAGAAATAATGCATTTATTAGAGAGATGCAAAAATTGGTACAAAAAAATGACTACAATGATTGAGTTATTTTCTAGAAAATATGTTAGAAACCTAAGTCGTATCAACGTGGATGAAACATTGATAAAAAGTAATGCCAAGTTTCCTTATAGTCCGTGGTAACCAAAACCACCATGACCACCGAACCCATGTCCAAGTGCTATACCGGAATGGTCAAGATACGATGAGGAATAGGTAGGAGAATTGTATCCATGAGATAAGGGGATCGGTGCACTGTTGTATCCATGAGAAGAAACAAGGGGAGCAGCTCCGTAACTATGGCCTAACGAGTAACCCACTGAGTTTCCTACATATCCACCATGACCATATCCTAAACAACAAAAAAGATATACAAACAAATCTTTGGAAACACCGGTTCAATGTTTATTACGGAAAAGACAAACACATTTCCGATTTAACTATCTAAAAAGGTCAGAATTCGAATGACCGGTCAAGAAAGTTGTTTGTCGGAAAAGTTTGCTTTCCCCGGACGTAAGTGTGATACTTTTTTTTTAAAGATTCAGTAAGATTGGCAGAAAAAAGTACAATAATTAAAATGAAATTATTTTGTATCTGTTCTACCTCCTCCGAGTCCTCCAATTCCTCCACCGTAATAACCACCACCATATCCGAGACCGAAGATACCCCTTTTTTCGTGTTTTTTAATTTGCAATGGTTCTTCGCTAAAAATTGGCGAAACCAGAGAGAGGATGGTAAAGAGTAACTATAAAAGGAAAATAAAACAGACAAATAGGATCAAATTCAATTAAATAATCATATTAATATAATATTTAATCGTAACAATTAATTAAAGATTAATCAAACGTTATAATAATACAATATTGTTACTCACTATGGCGTTCATGTTGATGGTGCCTTAGAGTGGATGCTGGATAGCTGCTATGGAACTGATTCGGTCACCACGAGACACACCCCTTTTATACCAGTGGAATCTTTAGCCACGAGATTGAATTCTACTAAGGTGTACACATCTACAAACATATCTAGCTATACAGGTAGCAGGTTTGACAAGCGTATACGTATATATGCGTACCAAGGGGAAATGGTTCACAGAGGACAGAGTAGTAATGGGTATGGTGTTACATACGGTGCGTGTCTCCATACGCCTTTCTAAAGCAATTTTTCCCCTCGTTCCTCACCAAAAATCTTTATTGCAATATCTTACCTTATAATAATTTGTTCTAGGATCTTACGGAATATAATGAGAATTAGGTTAAAAAAACAAAGGATAAATCAGAGATCAAAGATCAACAGGAATAGATCAATCATTCCTCTAAATTACAGTTTTTATCCAATTAAAAGTATCCTTAAATTCAGCTATTATGCTTTTTTTAATTGATATGTTTTATTCTTTAATTTTTTTATTGTATTTAAGGATTCTTTTATTTTTATTTTTTTATATGTAAATCAGATATATATATTTTTAGTATTAATGTATTTTAAAGTTAAATTAATATATTTAATAAAAAAATAATAATTATTTAATAATTGAAAATATATTTTCCTATGTTATATAAAACTATTCATCATTTAAAATATATATAGGTGTATAACTATGTTATAGGTGTATACCGATGGAAAAAGGTCAACCATTTTATTGTTCCATTCAACAAAGGGGTTAAAGAATTGATTTTCTTTCTATCCTTTCATTCTTTTATTCTTTTATTCTTTTATTGACACACTTAAAAAGAATATTTTCTAAATTCTTTTTTTCCACAATTTATAGGAAAGATTCAGTTCCAAGGAAAATTGGATCATTAGGTATCATTACAGCATACCGTATCAAATAACTGGGTCATACAAAAGGAGGAAGAATCACACGTTGCTCGATTTTCTTCTTTGACTTTACCTTCCTAGTCGACATGAACAAAAATTAGAATAAGAAGAAAAGAAAAAAAGAAGAAGAAGAAGAAGATGAAGACGATGATCAAACGTTCTCAGTTCTTGTTTTCAGCTCGATCCAAATAGAAAATCCTGGAGGACGATCTTTCTTTTCCGCGCATCTCCAATTTCATTCTTCCTTCTCGTACTGCAAGTAAAGGAAGGAGAAGAGAAACTTTCACCGTTATATACTAGGGTACTAATAGTCCAGTTGTCTGTTGGTTGTCTTATGGTTTTCGGTTGCAAATGTTACGTAAAAAGGCACGACGAGTGTAAAAGATTTTTCTGCGTGGTTAATGCATTCTTTCAGAATCACATTTCCTCTTTATTTAACTCTATTACGTATACACCTGGGTTTAAAATTTAATAATAATGAGTTATTAATTCGTTTTTGAATATATTAAATAATTTTATTAATTTTATTAATTTTATTCTTTTAAGATTTTTTCTATTTTACCCTAGTAGCACAAAATATTTAAAAATATTGAATAAGTGAAGAGATTCAATGTCTTTTTAATATTAAGTACACATGTATTCAACATTTTTAAATATTTCGTGCTATTAGGGTAGTTTAGTGAATTTGAAAAATGATTTTACGATAAATTTCAATAGAATTTTTAGATTAATGGTATAGTTCCGAAGAGATGTAAAAGAGAAAGTTTTCCGAAAGTATTTTCTTTTTTAAAGGATTCGATGAAAATTAGGTTACGTTTCGTACCATACAGAGGCAAACAAGTTTACCTTCAGCAGTTCCTAAAGTATCCCGCGGCGATGAAATTTTAACCCTTACGTTACGGTAAATTTGGGTTAAAACGTGCCGTTTTTCAATAAAACATATCCTTCATGGATTACTTTAAATACATAATAGATGACCTCGTTGACATACATTAGTATTCAAAGTGTACATAATAAAAGATAGATATTTTATTTCATTCAATTTCATCATTAATCTTTATTTTGTCTAGTGGCATGTTACCTTCGAACAAAAAAAAAATTTAAGATAAAAAGGATTGTGAAAATCTTTCTTTTAGAATTTATAATAATTTTTGTTGTGTAACTTATTCTATTTTAATATAAATTTTTTAATTATCATTAAATATGATTCATTTTTTTCTGTATTTGATGCAATTCATTATTTTATAATTTTTTTAAACCAATTCAACCACTCTACCCTCTACACTATTCACTATTACTATATACAACTTTTATACTATTTAAAATGTTTGATTCATTCGCGGGCAATCACGTGACTACATAAGTTCCTGTCCCCCAAAATTCTTCGGCGCGTGCCTCGTACAAAGTCCCTATCATAATTATTAATAAACTGCCATCTAACGTGATAATTTTAAACCATTCGTATGGTAAAGACATATTGTCACATGTATTTTAGGTTAGGATGAAATAATTCTTAAATCTGTTATTTTAAAAAATTTCTTTGTTGTTCGGCATTGTTAAATTTTTATTGATTAAAAACATTTGTTATTTTCAACTCAGTGTAAAATAATAACGATGTTTATCGAATACAATTAATAACAATGTTTTAATCAAATGTTTGTTTGACAATAATTATAAATAAAATTTGTGTTTATTATTAATTAATATAAAATGGAAAGTTTCAAAATGTTATTTGGTCATAAATGTTCCATATTTCTTCGTAATATAAAAACTACGAATATATGTAATATAATTCGTACTATTACTAAAATACAACAGAAAAATAAAGAAGATAAATATATGTTTGGACCAATGAATAAAAAGAAGAAAAAAAAGGCATCGACAACAGATTCAACAGTCGATTTAAAAGATGAAAATATAACGAAAGATTCAGAATTATGGTGGAATTTAAAGATTAGTAAATCTAGTATGAATTTGATTCAATTTAAGGAAAATATTGATTGTAACACATTAAGTATTATGAAATTGAATACAAGTAATGAAAAGAATCTTTTGCTTAATTGCAATGAAAATAAAGTTGCATCCAAAAGCAAGGAGAATAATATTAAAAGTAAAAGAATTAAAGATATTAAAATAAGAAAAAGTAAAACTGCTAAAAAATCTAGCAAAAGTAAAAAAGCTGATAGCAAAACTAATAAAGATGATAGCAAAAATATTAATGATGATAGCGTTGCAATAAGCAAAACTGATAAAGATGATAGGGTTGCAACAAGCAAAACTAATAAAGATGATAGGATTACAACAAGCAAAACTAATAAAGATGATAGCGTTGTAACAAAAGCTATTTCTACTGAGTTAAAATTTCCACAATCAAAGAATGAAATATTAAATGTAGATTTAATTAAGTTATGTCGCTTTCCAATTTTTCCTGAACAACCAACGAATCCAGAAATGTTAAAACAATCAGAAGTATTATCCTTTTCTTTGAAAGACGATCCAGAAATTCTTGATTATCCATCTGTTACTAAAATTTTATCTGAGAGTATGTCTTCAGAAGCTCAAAGAGCTTTAAAATTGTGGAAAGAAAAACTTATAAAAGAAATGGGTGAAGAGAAATTCAATGAGTATCAACAAGGTAATTAGTAACTAAGTTATTCATTTGTCTAATCAATTATCTTTGCAAAACAAAACAAAAAAAAAAGATCAAGTGCAAATGAATCAATTGAGTATCTTTAATTTACAGAGCTACTGAACAATGGAAAATTATTTCATTCTTGTATAGAAGATACTTTATACGGAAGAGAAGTTGATGTACCTGAACATATTCTTCCAGCTTATGATAGTTTAAGTAGTATCGTAAATGAAATAAAAGATATTAGAGCAATCGAATCGTTTGTTTCTCATAAGGGGTTGTTTTACAAAGGAAAAGTCGATTGTATAGCAACTTACAAGTAAAACATTTTTACTAATATTTATTATAATAAAATAATAATTCTATGTGCATGAAATTTTACTATTTTACACTTTTTACTATTATTTTATTTTTCTATATTTTAATATTAGTTCACTTTAAAATTAATTTCAAAGAAAGAAATTATATAATAAATGCGATATTTTTTTCATAGGGGCAAATTATGCGTCATTGATTGGAAAAAATCTGACAAAGAGAAAGGAAATTTATTTTTAACTTATGATGCACCGATACAACTCGCCGCATATGTAGGTGCTATTAATTCCTCTAAAAGTTATCCATTTTCGGTAAATTGTTTTTCACATTTCTTTCTTTATTTCTGTCAAGTCGAAGGAAATACATTTTTGTAATTTTCAATAAAATTCGACATATTTTATTAGATCCACTATGGTATGATAGTCGTCGGTTACACAACGGGAAAACCAGCAGACATATTCTATTTATCAGACCATTTTTTGGAATTGCATTGGTCTAGATGGTTAGTTAGAATGAAAAAATATTGGCATAATATTCAAAACCAAAACAATAATTCCGATTAAAATCAAATTTTCATTGTACAATGAGAAACAAATAAAACAGTCAATGGTTTCGTCACATTTGATTATTAGTTCCAGTCAATTATTAAACTAATTATAGGGATGATAGTTTAATAATGACTATGTCATGGGGACAAGAATAGGTAGCTTGTCTGAAGAAACAAAAGATAAAAACCATGTGATTTTGACTCAAGAGAGATAATAAAAAGAAATGATCTCTTTGATGATATTGAATAAGTTTGAGAAAGTGTTAGTAAAGAAGTATTTTTCCTTTTGGGAGAATAGGAAGATAATTAACAAGAATCAATCGAATAATATAATTTTTTGGTAATTATTTTTATGTGCAAAATACATTCTTAGAGTTTGTAAACATTTTTTCCTGACACATTCTTGTATATCTGGAAAATATGATAAAAAAATAATAAAATTAATTATTCTTCATACTATACATTTTTCAAGAAAAATAAAAATAGATAAGCCAAAAAATATGTTTAACGAAGGAATGAAGAAAAAAGAAACTCTTAATCAAACGAACAAAAAAAAAATAAAACAGCAAGTATTATAATGCTTCTATATTAAAGGTAGTGGTTTACTTATCACAGAGAACCTATATTAGGTACTGTAGGTAAAGTAGCTATCTCTAATACGATACAACACCTTATGATACACTAAAATCTCTCAGAAGGTACAAAATCTAAACTGTCGGTAATCATGCGACTATTTCATTTTTAAATTGAAAATTTCTTTACATTGAGAGTGATTTGAAAACAGGTAGCGATAAATAAAACAAATAAAATCAATGAAACGAAAAAAAATTAAAATTAATTTTTTATCATTATTTATAAAAACATCGCGCCTACAGGAATGCAACCCTCCATACTCGTTTTGAAAATGTTGCTTGCGAGCGACATCTCTTGGGACGGAATTTTTTTCCGTCAAAACTGTTCATACACATGTGTATTACGGGTTGTTTATCTTTCGGGCAGAAAAAAAATTCTGTCCCAAAAGGTGGCGCTCGCAAGCAACATTTTCCTAGTGTGTTTGTAGGGTTGCATATCTACAGGCGCGAATTTTTATAATTATTAAATAAATAATTTAAAAAAAAGTAAAAATAAGGTTATAATAATATTATATAATAAATTATCTTATACTCCTGATACCATCCATTTTTATTGAAATGAAAATAAAGTCTTTTAAATATGTTATAATTTTTATTATATCACATATAAAATTTTGCAAATTTAACTATTTATTTTTTGTAACATATATTTTAAAATTAATTTCATTGAACAATAAATATTTGTTATATTTTTAACAAACTATTTAAATTGGGTCTTGTATATTAGATATAATATTATTTACTATATACGTATATGTATAAAAAAGAGAAATAAAAAGAGTTAAATGTCACAGATAGTTTAACATAGATAGTAATTATAACTTTTTGGTGGCACCCCTACGTGACATGGAATTACGTAACTCACCGTTAGCAGGGCCATACAAACATTGCCATGGGCACAACCCTTTGCCTGTCCCTCGAGTACCGTAAACTAATGCCGAACCTGTGTACTCGGAATTATATCTTTTATTGGGTTTCCTCCAATCTATCGAATATACGAGTCAAATCTCTATTCTTTTTTGTTTTTTGAATTTTGTCTGGTATTTTTTGATTAAACAACTTTTTTTTACCCGGGTTGGATTTCCATTGAAACGTCATGTTAACGTTAAACCTTTCTACGTGAACTCGAATGATCGGGCGTTTTGTTATTTGTGAAAAACAAAATACGATGAAAACTCATAAAATGTACATTGTTCATTTCTAAATAATATAATAATATTTAATATCACATATAAAAAATTACACATGGTTTCAACCAATGGGAAATTAGTCAGTTCCTTGCATTTTTTCATATCATCAATAAATGATAAAATACAATTAATTGTTCAAATTTCATACGCGATTAGTACAAATAGAGAACCGAGTGTGTCTGTTGCGCGCATACATATTGTGAGAAACAATATTAAAATAAATAAAAACGAACTATTTGTAATAAACCCTTGCTCATCCTATGAATAGAAACATATTTCAAAGAACAAATTACAGTATACTTATTATAATACTCAAGACGATTTTATATACAGTAAAATATTGTACAGTACTAGACAAGGATATATGAATATCTAGATTTAGGCATTTAGTGAACACACACATACACCGACTTGTAGGATGAATCTAAATCTTTTTTGGTAATCCTCGTTAATCCTCTCATAACAACGAAATATTTCCATTGATCCGTCATCCCCCAGCCGGGTTTTGTGAACGGCACGTCACCCTATTAGGTACTATACTACGAAGAGTTATGAAAACGATCATTTTCCTGCTAGACGACACATCCTTTATTCCTCTTAAAGTTATAAAAGCTATGAAGAAGAGAGAAGAGAGAGAAAGAAAGTTGAACTATCAAATTTCTAGTTGTTTTTTCACGTCGCAGCTGTATCATCTTGCTTGGTACCCAGAGTTGGTACCCCATTAATATGATGGCTACTGCTGCTGCTGCTGCTGCTGCTGCTGCTGCTGTTGCTAGTGTTGGGACATAATAGCCTATGCTGGTCTATCTAGAAGAAGAAGCAGCAACGTCATGAAAAGCTGGCGTGAAAGAGAAAAGTGGAGCGCAGACCCAAAATGATAAAGTTTTCATCTTTTAGGTCTGCGACGATGTACTTCAACTTTTACTAGCTGGACGAGAAATGTTCTCTTTCAAAAGTTTCAATCAATATTAGGAGGACGTTCAAAAAGAAGAAGAAGAAGAAGAAGAGGAGGAAGAAGAAGAGGATGAGGAAGAGCAGGTTGAAGATGAACAGAAGAAGCAAGAGAACCACGTCACCTTTTATCATTTATATATATTCGTCAAATTAATTGTACGCTTGGTGTGACCGGAACATGTCGCGCGTAAACAACGTTTATCGGATCGATCGTTATCGTTAGCAACTAACTTACGCTACATTTACTTGCCAATGATAATTAATAATCCGTAGAGAGAAGCTTGACCACGGGAAAACTGGCAATCTATAAAGGACCGGATTACACGGGAGATGGAAAACCTTTCCTCGTGTGGGCGATCACCTGTACTGACTACGACCAAGACCAAGACCAACCATCCTACCTATTACTAAATCTTTCCTATCCCCCACCCACCTCGGGATTCTCTGGGTAAATTTTCGAAGAAACGTTTCCTCTTTTCGAAATCATTCGCCTGTCGAACCGAGTTCGAAACCCATCAAAGTGATGCTAACGTAAGCAGTTTATATTGATATACCACTACTTAACTGATAGAAGTAGTACTGGTCAATATAATATCGGACATAAATATCTTTGGATTTTCCAAGCCTCATTGTTAATCCTTTCAAACTAAAACTGGACAATTTCATCTCTTTTCGGATTATTTCAATGAAATAAAAAATAAGTACTTTCTCTTATTAATGTAATAAAATAATATTAGATTATTACAGAGATTATTCTCTGAAAATTCATCCATATGAAACGAAAAGAGAGTTACGTTATATGAATAAAAATTTGCTAGCAAAAGTTAGCATCGATTGCGTCAATACAATCTCCATGTCATTAGAAAGATAGAGTAGGATGAGTTAAAAAAGAAAAAAGAGAGAAAAAGAGGGTTAAAAAAGGATTGTTCCGACGACTCTCTGAGGGGTAGAATCGGAAATTCCGGTTTGGTCGTGGTCTCTCGCGCGCATTCACCTCGGCGATTCCACAATTTCGCAATTCTGCTTGCCATGAGAGAAAAGAAGAAAAATGTTGAGGGAAAACGCTCGATTTCACGGTCATTGGCTCGTGCATGCGTATACAATATATACGTGGCTGCTATTGCTGCTGCTGCTATTACTGTTGTTGCTATTACTGCTGCTGCTGCTGCTTCTGGTGGTGGTGATGGTGGTGGTGGTGATGGTGGTGGTGGTGGTGGTGGTGGTACTCTTGCCGGATGCTGCGAGTGCTGTTGCGTGCGCAAGAACGCCCCTTAAAATCCTTCTCTCCCTTGTCAAACCCTTATCGTTTGTTTCAGAGAAAAAAAGGAAGGAATCCTTTTGTAGTCGATCGTGTCAAAAATGTTAAGTTTTAAATCTTTTCATAGAAGAACGATCATATATCTGAAGATTATTTTTTTTTATTTTTAAATTAATTATTCATGAGGAACAGACTATATTGTGTTTTTCTTTCAAATATACATATATTATATAATATAATAACAAGCAAAAAAATTGCAAAAATGTTATATGTTAAAAAGAATATTATTTAATCTTATCTAATTTAAAAAACAAAAAACATCGAATTTGAAAATAACATAATACCCAAATTAAGAGAATAAAATTCACTATAAAGAATGAAATCATATATTATGAAAAATAGATAAATGTTGAGTAGCAAAGTCACGAAAAAGAGAGCAAAAAAAGAAATAAATAAAAGAGAACTGTAAGCTCGGTTTCCCGAAGGAGGTGGAACTTGCTCGTGCTTGCCTGGGTAGAAACATGAAATGGGCAAAGGGAAGAAGGAAGATAGAAAGGGTGAGAGTGTGTGAGAGAGAGATATAGAGTATCGTAGGTGGTAGAGGAAGGTGGTTCTCGGTTAAATGAGGCTAACTCGAGTTCTCTCTCTGTCCCTCCCTCCCTTCCACCCTTCTCGATCTTCACCCTCCGTCGTCTTTCCCTCTTGGAGTCGAACTGGGTACGTTCGTCGAGCTTGGGTGCGGCCCCGCACCGACCAAAATCGATTTTGGAAAGACGAGGAGGTATACTAAAGCTTCTACAAGAGAAAGAAGACGCGATACAGATTACGGAGGATGCCGCACGAACTGGCTTCCTCTGATCTCGCCTATCAGAAGGGTTCCTTCTTCTTTCGAGAATGTCTCTTGGTATACTACTACTACTACTACTACTACTACTACTACTACTATAATACTACTACTACTATTACTATTACTGTTCTATTACTATGACTTCCCATTTTCAAGTTATTTTTCTTCTTCTTCTTTTTTTTTTACTTTCGGATTTT